TAGGCTTATGACTATTATTGAAAAGAAGGTCACTATATTGGTCACTGTTTTTTTTTTTGAAATGTCAGAAATGTTTATTTGTAAATTTTGAGTTGCTTGTTCATTATTCTCACTTTAACAGATGCAAATAAATGAGTGAGATGGGCAAATTTTTGTTTTTCATTTAGTTGCATAATAATTCTGCACGCTAATAATTGCCCAATAATTGTGCACACATATTCTTCTAAGAAAGCACAAACCTCACTTTTACTTTCTTATGTATTCAGGTTTGAAGTTCATTAACATTTTGGATTGACTGAGAGCACAATAGTTATTCAGTAATAACATTAATCCTTCAAAATACAATTTGCCTAATAATTGTGCACACAATGTATACCGTATATACTCGAGTATAAGTCGACCCGAATATAAGCCGAGGCACCTAATTTTACACAAAAACTGGGAAAACTTATTGACTCGAGTATAAGCCGAGGGTGGGAAATGCAGCAGCTACTGGTAAATTTCAAAAATAAAAATAATTAATTTGGGAAACGATCTCACTATCTCACGTCGCCTCGGGAAGGGAAAGGCAAAGCGCCTTTTGCCTTTCCCTTCCCGGCTGGGGCTGTTGGGAGTCGCCGCCGCCTGCCTTTCCCTTCCCGGCTGGGGCTGTTGGGAGTCACCGCCGCCTGCCTTTCCCTTCCCGGCTGGGGCTGTTGGGAGTCGCTGCCGCCTGCCTTTCCCTTCCCAGCTGGGGCTGTTGGGACGCCGCCGCGTGCCTTTCCCTTCCCGGCTGGGGCTGTTGGGAGTCGCTGCCGCCGGCACGGCCCCAGTCCCGCCACCTCGGGAAGGGAAAGGTCACGGCTTGGAAGGCCGCCGCTGGAGCGAAGCTGCGTGCAGCCGCTGCGCTAGCATCGGATCGGGCACGCCGGACGGTTCCGACCGAGCCCCGAGCGTCATCTTTGGCGCCCGCCCAGCGCCGCGGAGCTCCCTGTACTGGGAGAAGGGGAAGACACCCCCCCGGGGCGGGGCAGGGAGAGGAGCTTCTCCCGCCCGCCCCTCTTTCCGCGCCCACCGGTGTCCCCGCAGGACGACCCCCGCCCCGCAGTCGCCGCCGCTTGAAAGAGACGGGCCGGGGGTGGGTAGAAAGGCGCCGGGTGCCCTTGGAGGAGAAGGTCCCGCGTTCGCCTGTCTGCCCGCGGATGTCAGCGGAGCTTTGCCGCTGCTTCGTCCGGGGTCTCTGGGCAAACACGTCCACCCGAGCGGGGCTTGTCGCCTCCGGCACGCAACGAGCGCTGCCCTCGGATTCCCTGTCCGGTTGCCCCCCTTTTGAGGGCGATGGCAGTAAACTGTTCCCGTAGCAGCGGCTGCTCCTCTTTCCCGGCTGGGCTGGTGAACGAGGCTTCGCAGAGTTAAGACTGTATGGACTGTATGGATTCAATCTGGATTGGGATTAAAATGATTCTAGATTTACTAAACCCCAGTTACTTCTTCCTGGCCTGTCCCCTTGTTGGAGCCAACAGTGGTTTATGGTTCACTAAACCTTGGGGTACTTAGTGGGGTGTTCTGCTGAACTGTGACTGAAGCAGGCCAGTTACTTCTGCCCAGAGCACCAAGGAAAGTATCAGGATGCGGCCCAGGACCTGCATTTCAGGGGGCTCCCCTGGCTCTGATTAAAAAGCCAGATCTGAGCTGTGTTCAGACCAGCCTTTGCACCCTCGCCCTCTCTTTGGTGGGAACTACTGGGTTCTCCGAAGAGGGGTGGGGGCTGTTTTTGGCTCAGAATGTTATCACAACTTCACATGGGTTCTGTCCTCTTTCAGGGCGGTCTGAATCAACCCGCCAGGCCAGAGTTGTAATTTGTTGCCTGGCTTCCCTGCAATCACAACTACCCCACTACTCCAGGGTCAGATGGAGCAGAGACCTCATCAGGCTGGCCTCTCTCCCCCCCCACCCTTCTCAAGAGCCTGGAAGCTCTTCATGTCCTTCATGTGCAGCCTGGAAGAATGAATGACTTCCAAAGCTCTGGACTCCATCAGGCCCCTGTCAGGCGCAAGTCCCAAATGGGGGTCAGGGTGTCCCTTCTCGGGAGAGGCATGAGATTGCACAAGAAGCAGGAAAGAATCCCAGAACAGCTCCTGCGTAGTCACGTGTTCCCTTTTCCCCCACCCTGGTGCTCCTCTCAGGTTTGCTGAAAACAAAACCACCCGGGTGACCCTCCTGCCTTCTGGAGGGCACAGGCGCCGGCAGAGTCCATGGAAAGAGCGCGGCGACCGTCCGGCTGGCAGATGGGACTGCGAGCATTTGGGGGGACTTGGCTGCCTCAGGACCCGCATCCCCTGCTCTCCTCGAGGGAAGCGTGTCTTTCGCTCTGTGGCGGAGGAACCAGCCGGCAAGGCAACCAGGGGTGCCTCAGGCGTATCAGCGAGAGGGACGAATTCACGGCTTCGGAAGGCCGGACCGGAGCCCCCTCCCCCCCAGCCCCTCCGGGCAGAGGGGCCGGCCTCCCGGGACCAGCCGCTCCGGCGGAGAGAATTGCTAAGCCGAAGGTGCCCTGCGAAGCCTCGTTCACCAGCCCAGCCGGGAAAGAGGAGCAACCGCTGCTACGGGAACAGTTTACTGCCATCGCCCTCAAAAGGGGGGCAACCGGACAGGGAATCCAAGGGCAGCGCTCGTTGCGTGCCGGAGGTGACAAGCCCCGCTCGGGTGGACGTGTTTGCCCAGAGACCCCGGACGAAGCAGCGGCAAAGCTCCGCTGACATCCGCGGGCAGACAGGCGAATGCGGGACCTTCTCCTCCAAGGGCGCCTGGCGCCTTTCTACCCACCCCCGTCCCGTCTCTTTCAAGCGGCGGCGACTGCGGGGCGGGGGTCGTCCTGCGGGGACACTGGTGGGCGCGGAAAGAAGCGCGGGCGGGAGAAGCTCCTCTCCCTGCCCTGCCCCGGGGGGGTGTCTTCCCCTTCTCCC